GCTCCAGGCGCTGTTACACCCGGTACACCATTTGACCGGTAAAGACAAATTAAGTACCTATCCAGGCACTCTAGACGTTAGAAAGGTTCAGATATCGCCAAACTTCAACAGCTAACTGCAACGTCTCCACAGCTGGAAGAAACACTCTAGAGTACCTACTCGGATTTAGGAAGACAGTTATCTATCCTCCAGGTCGTTTATTCAGTGCAGCAGAGCCAAACTCGAGGTGCTGGCAGTCATCAAGAACTGCTACACTACCTTACTGAGGTCCCTAGGTTAGTAGGTAGAGTGAGTTTCTCCACTGAGTAATACGCACTGGGTCAGAAGATCCTAGCTGGTCATCGTTGATCCGCCCCGCACTAGCCGCCATTCACAGCCAACCAACGACCAACAATTCAACTTCAGCTAACGTTAACCCAGAACTTGAGACTTGCGACTACGACCCCAAAGCGGCTCGCGACTGATTTGCCTGGGACTTGCTTGGATTTGCTTCTCCTCCATCCTTGCCTCGTTTTTTGCTCCATTCCCTACTCAATCGAATGATTCTATCTTCATACACGTCTCCCTATCGCAATCGTCGCTTCGGCATCTCTCTCATCTCTCAGGCCCCAGTTTATAGCCTCCTCTTTAGCTCCTGCTGATCGACGCTATCCATTCGAGCACATCCTACATCGGCGCATCTGCATGCCCAGCGCAGCGCATCGCATCGCATTACCCCAGTCGCATCGCGAAATACCCGTCCATCCGTCGCATCGCCTGTTGAGACTGAGGCGGTTCTACTGAGGGAGGACCTTCTCCCTCTACTCCTCAGTCTATCTACCTGCTCCATTGTTCTCTACTCGCCTTTGAGCCAGCCTAGTAGCCACGCTGCCCCCGCTCGATCATCATGGCTGCGGAGGCCACCGGCAACAAGGCTGCCACCCCGCCCAAACGGAAACTCACCTTTCTCGATCTCCCAGCTGAGACCCAGCAGGACATCTTGTCGCATGTTCGTGACTAGATTCTCATTGCTGTCCCTCGTGCGACATTGCTGACGACCCCATAGTGCTCCCAGTCTGAGTTAATATGTTGCGCTCTTGTATCTCGGCACTTTCATGAGTTGGCATCCACGCAGCTCTATCGTAGCTTCAACATCCTCTTTCCCGATGACGATGATGTGAGGTTCGAATCTCCAATCGACGGCCTTGCAGGTGGCCTCGACACCTTCACCACGAGCGAATACAACTATGCGAAGCACCTGAGAGAACTTTCTATGGATACAGTGAGCACTGGCGTGAAAGCCGAACATGCCTACAAGCCTTATCTGTATAGTGCCAGCTGTGGCAAGTTCCTTAATACTTTACTCTATCTGACTTTGAAGAAAGCCAAGTCGCTCGAATCTTTTAGGTGCGTTCCACAGCAGGCTGTATCTGGTTTCTTGGAAAGTTCTTGATCGCTAATTTTCTGGCCAGGTGGAACATTCGCGTTGAGTTAAGCAGACCGGTCTTTCGTGAGCTTCATAAGATCAAAACTTTGACAAAATTCCACATTCGCCTCCAAGCCGGGGATACATACTACATTACACCACCTCCTCTCCCCCTTAGCATTGACGCTCTACCTCCGGCCTCAACTCACTGGCCAGATGTTCCCCCTCCTCCGCCTGGGCCTCCCCCAGGAGTGTTCTCAGCCCCACTGGCCGGTGCCATGACATCTTTGCCAGTCATCACCTCACCACCTCCTCTGTTGCCACCGTCAAAGCAATCCTCCAAAGCAAAGGGAAGTAAGCGAGACTCTGTGGCAAAGGAGCCCCCAACGCTCTCGGGTTTTAAAAAACTGAAAAGTCTTTCCGTTCTCGATATCGACAATCTCGAATTGGTAACGGAGCTCAAGACTTGCGTTCGAAATTCTTCCGCCACACTTACCGAACTGCAACTTTCTCTTTCTGATAGTCTAGGCCTACAAGCTAGGCGACCGCCACCTGACTCAGACCCGGACGATTCTGATGTCGATGATGAGTTTCAAGTGGTTCCCGTTTCCCAGAACACCAGCTTCGACGCGAGCGGCCCTGCGAAGACGTTTCGCTCCCAGGAAGAGCGTAAACTTCAAGAGGGCATACTGGGAAGAATATTCGATGTCGAACCTTTTATTACCAAGAAGCCTGCGCTTATCCAGAGTCCTCGCGAGGCGGCAACCAGCCAAGATGATGATCCAGAAGCCGGCACTAACGACAATTCAGAAGATCCTCGTGAAGAATTTGTGTCATCTATCCGCAGTGTTTCAACAAGACTTATGTCACATATAAATGGCACTCGTGACTTCTCGACAGCCCAGCAGGATATTTTGGACGTGATTGAAAAGGCAGCAAGAAAATATGTGGATTCATGTGAACTCCCTTCTCAATCAAACAACGAACCGTCCGGTAGCACCTCAGCGACACCTAAGAATGATGAGGAGCGACAGAATGATGAGAGTGGTGGATCGAAGCCGACGACAACGGAATCAAGTTTGACCCCATTGTCTAAGAATAACGACTCAAGCAACGATACATCACCAGACGATATCGAAATTGAGCATCTGGATACCATAGATGAGTTGGAGGTGGATTTGGAAGAACAACAGACCAAGGACATTGAGGAGAAGGAAGTTGGAGTTAAAGAATCAGAAACACCAGAGGCAGTTGCTGACCCCTCTGGCTTACCCTCGAAGACACCGGATGCTAACTCAGACCCATCAACGACCCCAGGGCTGAAAAAAGCACACACAAGCTTGGATACGCAGCGGGTGAATTATGAGTCCCTACTGTCAAATCTACAGCAGTTGCAGGACGAGAACGATGCTTTCATCCAGAAGATCAAGGCGATTCGTGTGCAGGGTACTGTTACTGAGTTGGAACAGTTCAAGGACTCAGTAACACAACTAAGAGAACTAAGTCAGGAAGCTGAACATATCAGAGGTGCGATCAAAACGACTCATCTCGAGATCAAACATATTGAGGATCAAGTCTTCGGAAAAGCTCAAAACAACGACGGCGAAAAGGCACGACGCTCGATCGACGAATACCTGCGGGATACTCGTGGCATTGCACTAGAAACACTGAGCATTCATCTCATCCCTGTAAAGGCATCCGTTCTGTCTAGAGCCATTGACCTGAAGTGCATCAAGAACCTGACCCTACTTAATGTTGGTAATCAGGGCCCAATCTGGACATTGCTCTCCAAAGAGAATAAGGTCTCGCCATTAGCCTTACGGAGTGTCTTTACAGACAATGTTTCGACCGCATTCCTCAACTGCATGTCCCAGCTTGAAGAATTGCACGACTTGTTCTTATTGGAGCGAAGCGCTAAATATAAACCTGAGAGTTTTGCACCACGAACTACCGTCACGATCGACCAGATCCGTCGGCTCGTCCTTAAGAAGCACATGCACTCACTCAAGAGACTCATGATCAAGGACGAATCAAACAGCAGCACCTGGGATGCGAATCAGAAGGCAATGATACTTATTTGTAACCGTGGCGTGCAGCTCGAGGAGCTGGCTCTTAGCATGAATATCCACGCAGTGGTAAGTTGGTATGATCAGAAGTCCAAGCAGTCACTAACACGAAAATTAGCACGCCTTCATGCAGTATTTCGCTGGATTAGTCAACCTACGTGCTATAAACATCCTTCGATTCAGAAATAACGACACATGTATATGGGTCATGCGGGAGATTCTGAACTTCATCGTGGATAATCTCTCTCACCATCCCGAGCTGAAGCTGGAGTGGATCGCTATGGAGGACGATCGTCTCGACAGGGTCATTCGCCCTACGGACGGAATCGAAGAAGGGGAGAAGAGAAGAGGCAAGGGCAAAGAAAAGGCTACGGTTCATCCACATCACAACAACAGCAATCTGCCTGTGCTACCATCCTGGGGTTCGGATAGCGAAAGTGAGGAGGACGATGATGATGCCTCGAATTGTGGAAAGAGGCTTCGACTCAAGACTGTTGGAGTCCTGCAGTTTTATGAGGTTTGGGGCGTCAAGATTTTTGATAAGGAAATTCGATCTGGCCGACTATGAGGTCTAGAGAAACCTCCCGGAGTTGCTTTTGGTGACAAATGCTCCCCAGGGTGCGATGGCAAGACGGCGCAAACGGCTCAACACCTTGGGTTTTTGGATCAGGGTAAACTAGATGGGATAAAGACGATGATGCACAAAGGGGGTTGGTGAATCTGGACCTGCATGTAACTTACGGGGCGTCACTTATTATTGCACTTTGCATTAGGCATCTACAACTTAATAGTGATGACTGGGGCCAACACTGAACTAGAAGTGTAATAAGATGGGTTAGAGTATGATTTGGCACGTTAAGTCAAGTCATATCTTTTCTTCGTTCCCATCACCTTGATCTAGCTGAATGGATGCTGTTGGCGGCATTTCTTAATAATCTTCTCTGCACAAATAGTCTTGTTTCACATACGAGAAAATACATCTGTTCAAAGACCCCATTTGATATAAATGCCACCCTTCAAACTTACATAGAGCACGGTGTAGGGAATGGTGCAAAAGGGTTCACAACGGTACAGAAATTTCCAATAGAGCCGAGACGGTTTGTATGAGCTACAGGGTAGCCAAAGCTTCCTTTGACGCAAATATTTGGTCACTACTCCGTACCTAAAAGGGTATGAAACTCATGATAAATGAGCATCATGTAAAATTATAGCGAGACAGAAAATGAACTTTACCGTGGACTAGAAGTAAGCATTGTCATGAAAGCGATACGAGAGTGACAAATTTTGAATTTTGACTATATTGTTACCAATGTTATATCGCATAGCTCAGGCATTATCTTGCACTGGTTCTCATCTCATACACTATTTTTGTTGGCCCCCCATCATGAAGAGCAACTCCGTAACTTAATCATTTCGCCGTGCCTGATTCTAGGTCTGGTACACTCAATAAGTACACTGCCCTTAAAAAAAGAAAATCGCGTATAAACCCTCGAGTGAGGAGGCAGGTATCTAAACTAAAGGATGCATATTTACAGCCTGGAAATGATGGCAGCGGCGTATTCATTGGTCTTGGCCTTGCCGCCAAGGTCACCAGTGAGAGCCTTGCCTTCGGCAAGAGTATCGAAGATAGCGGTTTCAATGCGGGAAGCGTGCTCGGTGAGACCCATGTGTCGCAGCATCATGATGGAACTGAGGAGGAGGGCAGTAGGGTTGGCAAGGTTCTTGCCAGCAATATCGGGAGCGGAACCGTGGACAGCCTCGAAGATGGAGCACTCATCACCAATGTTTCCGGAAGGGGTAAGACCAAGACCACCGATGAGACCGGCACACATATCGGACAGAATGTCACCGTAGAGGTTAGGCATGACAAGGACCTTGTCGTTGTAAGGAGTGGGGTCAGTGACCATCTTGAGGCAGCTGTTGTCGAGGAGCTCAGCGTCGAATTCAATACCGGGGAAGTCCTTAGCAACCTCCTGAGCAACCTTAAGGAAGAGACCATCTGAGAGCTTCATGATGGTAGCCTTGTGGACAACGCGGACCTTCTTGCGGCCAATGGACTCGGCGTGCTGGAAGGCGAATCGCAGGACACGCTCGGAAGCCTCACGGGTAATAAGCTTGATGCTCTGAACGACGCCATCGACGACAACATGCTCAATACCAGAGTATTCACCCTCAGTGTTCTCTCGGATCAGGACGGTGTCGACATTGTCATAAGGGGTCTCGTAGCCAGCGACGGATCGGCAGGGTCGCAAATTAGCGAAGAGGTTAAATGTTCGTCGGAGAGTAAGGTTCAGAGAGACATGTCCCTTGCCAACAGGGGTCTTGAGAGAGAGATGTTAGCCATTGGGTCATGAGAGAGACGTAGACCGTGACAAAATTTGCGTTCATGGTGACGTACAGCGAGGGGACCCTTGAGGGCGATCTTGTTCTTCTGAATGTTCTCAATGGCAGCATCGGGGATGGCAGTCTTGCCGTCCTTGATAATGGGGGTAACGTCGACAGGCTCCCAAGCAATGGGGGTCTTGAAGATATGGTGTTAGCATAACTGAAGTGTTTTGTATTTGGTGCGACTTATACGGGTGGGCGAGTTGTCATGACGAACCTTGGCGGCGGCGAAGATGTCCTTGACGGACTGAGAGATCTCGGGGCCAATACCGTCACCCTCGATCAGGCTGACCAGGAAGTTGCCCTGCGCGACAAATTAGCAAGACATCTCTTCAATTGACTGAAGCCAAGCATTGTGTTGAGCGAGACTGAGTTATTTTATCTCGGCACCTTGCTCGGCCCAGCCGAGCGCTAGGATCATCCAGAAGGTGTTTTATGAGGGAGCGCAAAACGTACATTAGCATCCTTGGTACCGTTGTACTTGGCGACTCGTTCGCCAGAGGTTGAGTAGCATCGGTTCTGTAGATAGGGTGTAAGTGAATGTCCATGTTGCGCCCAAATTGCAGGTTTGGATAAATTTGGGGTAGTTTTGGTGGTGATCTCATACGTAGAAGATGGCGGCGCGGGGAGTAGCAGCGCGCAGGGCTTGCCTGGAGGCGGGAGTTCGGAGAGCTCGAATGGCCAGCATTATGAAGAGGAGCGAGCAGAGAGACTAGCTAGACACAGCTTGAGAAACAAGAGGCAATGTAAGAGGAGGATTGGAAGAGAGGAGAGGGTATAATGGGAAGAGCGTGACGAGAAAGGATCAAGAAATAGAAAAGAGGAAAGATTAACTCAGGTCAATGGAAGAAAACAACCTCGCCCAAACCCAACCACAACCACAACCACCACCACCACCACACACACCCCAAACCAGACCAAATCCGAATGGCCAATGTTGCTTTCATGGCAGTATAGCCACAGGTTGACAGCCTGAGCAGGGCCACTAGCCACTGAAAACAACGGTAGGCCAAGGTATTTGCGGCGCCCAGCTCCACTACCCTCCACTTTTTCGCGTCTTTTACAGTGGTTTCAAGGTTCCCTTTCGGCTACAGCCTCGTATCCCGCGCGGACTTCCGCTCTATTGCTAGGTTGATGTAATTTTTTTTTAACTCTCCATTCTTCCCGTCCTTCCACGGGAGCGCTCACAATCCAGAAGCCTTCTCCGAGCAACGAGGGGCCGGTGGGCATCCGTAGTTGACCTGATGTTTGACCAAGAAACCACAAAAATGCACGTCACAGCAATGAGTGACGCCACAGCTGGACTGCCACACTTGAACCCCACAGCCCATTCATTCATTACCTGGCCATTGCCCAGCCACATACACTGAGGCTGCCGTAGTCCATGTACCCCAGGAAAGGTGAGCTTCTAGCTCATCATAACACTAGATCTCCAAACACCTATTCACAGCAACATCACCTGTGATATAATAGACCCGTGCAACACTGCGCGTGTGACATTCGTTATTAGATTTGATCTCCAGACTAGAGAATAGTTCGCAAAGATAACTGCGCCGACCCGGCGCAAACCAGTCCGGCCCATCGAGTATGCGACGGCACCCCTAAGTTCTAACTACAGACCATCACCAGAATCACCATGGCCGATACCGAGCGTACGATCCTCGATTTTTACCAGATTCCTACTCTGTATCCTACAGAATGGCCGGCTGAGAAGGACCTGGAAGACTTGGACGATGATGATGAAGGCGAGAAAAATGCTGCTATAAAACGAAGACAGTCACGTTATCAGGCGCTCGAGAGAGCCGTGAGCCAACGAAGGAGCAACATTCACAGAGAAGACGACCAGGGAGGTGTTGGAAATATTGTTCAAAAAGACGAGCCGGATCCGCTAGGGACTACTGATAGCGTCGTCAGAACACTGAAGCATCTTGGCCTGCCCCTCCAAGATGACCACCGACTACGTATGCTCCCGTGCCATGACTGTACGACTCACGGATATGATAGATTGACGGCGTGTGGCTAAACCAGGCAATCGATTCCTACTCTCTTCAACAACATTTTCGCCAGCTCTCTTCCTCTCCCAGATGCATGCTACTGCCGACACTCGGAGTCTCCTTACTGGTCTCGATGTTCTATCACAATCCATCGATCAAAAGTCAGCGTCCCTCAAGGTTCTCGTTGAGACCAACTTCGAAAGATTCGTCAAAGCCAAAGCAACAATAGATAATGTCTATAAGGAGATGAAATACCGCGGAATGGAACCACCTGACGCCAATAACGCGCACTCTAATGCAGCCCAGCGTCGCAGTTATCGTAATAGTGTGGCGGGCGGTGCTGGGTTAGGGATCAACAATCCCCTGGCATCTCCGAATATTGACACGCGTAAAAAGAATGCACTGACAAAAGAGAGCGAGTACGGTGTGCTGGGAATAAAGGGCCCTCTATTGGAAGTTTCTGCAAAGGCTGAGGACGTATGGGGACCTGCTTTAGGAGGAAGAGAGAAGGAGGAAAACCTCAAAACCGTCTCAAATCATCTGACAAGATTCAAGGACTACGTTGAGCTGAGCACGTCCATAGCGGACAGCATCAAACGCAAGGACTATGAATCATTAGTCGACGAGTTCAGCAGGGCAAGAAAAATTGCAGATGAAGCACGGCGATTGACAGAGGAAATAGGGGACGAGACACCGACAGAGCCCCAACTTTACCAGTTGTTGATAGCGGGACGCATGTGGTATGATGTCGACCAGCAGATACGCGCCTTCAAACGCGACATCTGGAAGAGGCTGGTTACTCTTCACACCGCATCCAGGACGGACGGCACAACTGGCCGTATTCAAGACCAACATATGGAACTCATCGGATTGCTTCTTGAGCTTGGCGCTGATGACAATCCCATCTGGGTGTGGCTTTTGAGTCGATACGACCATTTGAAGGGCAAAATTCAATCGACAGCAGACCGCTCAAAAGTTGAGATTGAGGTGCTTCGCCGCCGGCTGGCCAGTAACGATAAACCGAACCCCAGCATTATTGCTGCTCATCTTCGATCCCTAGGACGGCCGGTGATTGAGGATAAGCCTTTGACATTCGACACACCAGAGGTAATCGAGCTTTGGGAGAAGATGTTATCGTTCCTCAACAGTCTCCTGTCAAGTGAAGGTATTCTGGGTGAGGTGATAGAGTTCTGGCAGACAGTGCAGGGGTTCATTAATGGGTCTGCTCAAGCTGCCCTCCCCGTTGGATATCGCGGCGAGTCTCGGCATCACCATGAACTCTCACCGCAGAGCGTTGACGAGTTACAAAAAGGGGCTGTGGAACTAGTGGACTTGCTCCGAGAACACGCTTATTCATTCTTCGTGGATATGCCTCCCGAAGATGTATCACTGCTATTCTCACCAATTCCCAATACACCAGCCCCGACGACGCCCGGATCCGCCGCATTGTCGTCTCCCAGAGATCCTCGCTTCAATTTCGATCCAAACAACATGCCTCCCCCGTCGCCCAAGAGAGGCGAAGTCTGGGAAAAGTTGGCATTTTGGCCCCCATGGTCTAATTCTATCAGCGGTGTTCACTATCTGTCGAAGATGCTGACTTTAGTTGGCGCTGGAGCCGGTGATTTAGCGTGCATTGAGCCAATAGAGTCTGGTGAAGGCCAGGTGATTGATCGCCTCAGGAGTCTTGTTGGAGGTTCCCGAGAGCGATGCGTGACAGCGTTGTGCGCAGCCTGGAACAGAGATGCCGAGAATATTAAGTATGTTGAGGACTGGCAGCGCTCGGTTGAGATGGGGGACGTGACACGAATGCCAGCTAGCTTCGCTGCCTTCGAAGGAGCAGTCCTATCAGGCATGCAGAAAATACTCTACATCCCCGATGCCATGTCCAGGTCAGGTTCGGGAGATATTGTCTTGCCACCTCCGACCAAACTTCTCATGATGGTCCGCAGCCAGTATGTTACCACTCTGTATAAGGCATTGAGTGGCATGGTCGAAAATGCCGAGCGCTCTTTAAAGAAGACGGAGGACGACTGGTTAATCGATAGCGAGGGATCGCTTGCATTGGCAGCGGCGCCGAGCATGGCGGGCAAAGGGGCATTGGACTCAGGGGATAGGGTAGGCCGTCTACCACCCACTTCGAACGAATTCACTGTACTGACAATTTTATCTAGAACATTCGCATGCTCATGACCCTGAGTAACTTGTCATCATTGCGGTCGCAAGTAGTGCCAAGTCTCAACTTGCAATTCGAGAATGCCTTCTCCGTCAAGTTGACTGACGAGTCCAAAAAGATCCGCGAAGTTCTTGGGCAGATTCATGAACGACTTTTCCAGTCCTACACGAAACAGTCAATCGAAAGGCTTCGCGATGTCATCCAATCAGGCATCTCAGCCCCTGACTGGGCTCCTGGCCAAGGGCAACGTACCCAGGCAGCTAAACCATATGTGTACGAGGCGCTTCTTACTCTCGTACTTGTCCATTCTCAGGTTTCTACTACTGCGCCGGCTCTTACAGTCGAAGTTTTGTCCTTCCTCCTCGAACAGACGTCCACCCAGCTCCTAGAAGCCTTCCGACGTCGGCCACGATATACTCTAGAGGCACTCATGCAAGCAACCCTCGACGTAGAGTTCGTCGCCCAGACCCTCAGCCACTACACTTCGGAGCGTGCCTCTGAGCTTCAGAGCCAGATCTATCAAGAACTTGATGCCCGTACGGACAACGAGGCCCGCGCACGTCTCCAAGGCGAGCTGTCCGAAATGCGCAACGTTCTTAAACGTCTTAGAGAAGCGAGCAAAAACGAATTTGCTTGCTTCAAGAAGCCAAAAAGGCCAGGCCACGGCCCAAGCAGGAATAATAGCGGACTGTCCGGGATCTCAGCCTAGAAGGTTCGGGATCCGCATATTTCCAGCATATCAAGCAACCAAGAGCGGGAGGATGATAGTTGCACAACGGCCATGGACTCTACGGGTTAGAGCGCACTCGGTGAAGAGGTCTGTGTATTTAAGAATGCGTAGTACTAGAGCATAAGCGAAGTGAATCACTATCAACTTTCTTTACTTCTGGAAGCCCGTCCCATCTCCAAATTTTTCATATTAAAAACCCCCGAGGTATATTGTTTCTTGTTTTTTTTTTATCTATGCCGTGAACGCCAGAATTGAACCACAACCCCTGATTTCTATTTTGTGTTCGTTGACTTGTCCTGCTCCCTCTCATAACGCATTGGGCCAAAGGCACCGTGCCTAGCCATACATAGGTATAGTATATATCGTGTGGTATCAAAATTCATATTCTTTTCCGTCCAGTCATTAGCCATTAAACGATTCAAATCAGAAACGTCTTCCCCGTGCATGATTTATGTCAATATACTCCGTTCGCAACGTTTGTAAGTATCATAAGCATCGACCTAGGAAGAATCGTTCAAGGAGTGTTCGTAATGAGAAGGTGAGAGCAGAGAATCATCTCGAGGGATCGAGAATCTGCTGGGGAGAAGGGAGAACCATCTTGGCGGGCTAGGATTGTATCGTCTGTTACAGTGATTAGCCGGTTATTGCAAACGCTCAGAACGGGTGATACTCACAGTCCAAATCGATGCTTTGGAAGTAAGTTCCTATAACAGGGTCTTGCTCCGAGGTGATCAACTTGCCTGTTTCACTGCGAAGTGTTTGTGGCAGGGCTTTGCGGATCGCCAGAAGCATCTTCAGCAGCCCTGCTAAATTACCACCCTGCTGTGTGAAGACACCCGGGTCTCGTTCTAGGGGCCAACCAGGGCGTAGATGATCTTGCTCCCAAGCCTTAAAAGCCCAAGTCGATTTCTCAAGACAGTTGAGGAAGATGACAGCCGTCAGATACATCTTGAAGTTCACCTTGACCTTGCTGTCCTGAAGGACGCGATGCATTCCGCTGAGCAGTGCCTTTGAAGTGTTGTTGGCCTTTCTCTCAGCTGCCGCGTTCAGCTGCATGCAAAGGGTTGTATAGATGTCAGCATCGTTCTCGCTTTTGGCTTCTTGGATGCGCCTGGGCTCTTCGTTCTTATCGGCTGGTCTTTCAATAACGTTCCACTGCCTCTCGCGATCGATGCTCTCCACCAAACCCCATAGCTCCAAGGACTTTCGAAGTAGATCATCCTCTGACTCTTGCAATTGCTGAAGAGCAAGACCCAGAGTGACACGCATGAACTTGGAGGGCTCTCGGTCGATAAAAAGCTGAAAGACATCACGCATATAGGCCTCAACCTTACCAGGAACATCTTCCTTGTCCTGATCGATCATAATAACCTGAAAGAATGAATCCTTGCTGCCTCTGGATTCTGCTAGCGACTCACTAGGCTCTAGCAGTGCAACCAAAGCTTCGAGGAGTATGACTTTGCCAGTTTCAGGAAAGTGCGAAACCTCTATCATGGTACCATCATGGGTCATATTTAGCTGGTTCTTCAAGAGGTTGATGCGATTTTGGGACAGGACAACCTGCACACCCGCCGAGTACAAATCAAGCTGCTCCTGGAGCCTCGTTCGCACACAACCAGTCCTCCAAACCCTCGGTGCGAGAACCTTCCTGCACGTGTCACATGGTGTTCCTTTGCCGCAATTTTTTCGAAGGATTCTACACCTAATGCATGCACCTATTTTCCGAACTTCTTGCACCTCCTTTCGTCGCGCAGCAGTAAAGCGGGATCGCGCGTGTCGAGGTCTGCCATTGAGTTGACCATCGCTTGTGTCCATCCGAACACCACCCCTGCTCATCTGGATAGGTGTCGGTGGATGTTCGTGAAGTAAAGGAACAGGCGAGGCAGTCGCCAAGTATGTCATTTCGCCCCACGGTTGCGAAATTCCACTGTCGGGAGCTGTTACGGCACTGGGAGAGGCTTCTGTCGGGGTCGGAATGTCCATGGACGGCGGTGTAGTCAAGGTACCAGTCTCGTGAACGAGCTGGGGGTCAAGAAGCGACGGGTTTAACCTAGCTGTAGCAGCAACGGCGACCGAAATGTTCGAGACGTCTGGGGAAGCAACGCTATTAGGAAGCAATGCTTGAAGTCGTTCCTCGGGTGATAACTCGGTTCCTGGGAGTGGTTGCTGGATTGCACCTAACACATCTGTTGTGAGAAGCGCACCTTGCAAGTCAGGCTCTAAGGGGCCATTACCTCTGTTACCCTGCTGCGACCGGTTCTCGTAGCTCACAGGAGGGTTATCTAGAGTGAATTGCTCTTGAAGCTCGAAGCGTTCTGGAACATGCTGGGCGTTGGCGGGGTCAGCGGGGTCAGCCACGCCTGCCTGTACGCTCTGAGCACGATTGTTCTCATTCAAATCAACCTGTCGTGAGGCTTCGGCGAGTGTCTCGAGGGCGCTCCACCCTTGGGGGAGGTTGGGGGCATCGACTGGCTGTCCGTTCGGCTGCGCTTCAGGAGGCGGTCGATCGACAGGTGCTCGTGCATTGGTGATGCCATGAAGTTCGAGGCATGCTCGCATACGATCTGACTCGGAGATGGCGGGACATTTCTTGGTGATGTGTGTTGTCAAGCTATCGATCCTTCCCTTTGGAAAATTCTCACCGCATTGTTTGCACGTATGCGGATATCGATTACTGTTGTCGTTGAGCTTAGGTCCACGGACGAAGTACTCGAGGATGAGGGGATTGGGCTTGCGGCCCATTGCGCGCTCTGGGGAGTCGTTGCAAGCGCGTCGCCTGCAACCTGAACCGTCAAGGCGTCTGATACGCCGTTTCCGCCAGAGGCCAGTGCCGTAAGTCCAAGAGGCTTCAGAATGGCTGCAGGATTGGTAACGTAGGGCTGGGGTTTGACGATAGAATTGTGCCGTTACTGCGATTCTGCCTTGACAGACCGACAAATTTCTCACACCGCCTGTAGACGCGGATTTGTGGTTTGTCCGGTCAGGTGGAGCTCGAGCTTGTCTGATTGGTAGGAAATTTCCGACGCCTGGTGAAGCATTCTTACTCATAGGTTAGTAGGTACTCCGTAGTCATACTCCATCTGAGACCGCGGGGCATCGAAAAAAAAAGTGAACCCCGCGCTTCAGCTATCATCTACTATCAGGCGTTGTTGTCTACTGATATACCAGGTTTTCAATTACCACTGACAAGATACTTTCAAAATGAAGAACATTCAGCGTCTCGAACTGCCGGCTGCGGCTGACATGCATGTCCATTTACGTCAGGGCGATATGATGGACTTGGTTGTTCCAACGGTTCGCCAAGGAGGAGTCGATACGGTATTCGTGTATGGACTCTGGACTATAACAGATTGGATTTTAAAGGCTAATAGAATACAACAGTATGCCTAATCTCGTATGTCGTGTCTTGTAGTGATACTGTTCAAAACTTAGAATTGTCCAATGGTTTGTATACATGACAGCTGATCCATGCCACGAATAGTTGCCTCCTCTTACTGCCGTCGAGCAGGTACGTATCCATAAAACGGCCTTAGTAGATTCTGCAAGATCGAGCCTGACTGCGATACCTGTAGGTTCTCGAGTACAAGGCCAAGCTCACGGCCATCACCCAAGATGTCAACTTCCTCATGTCACTCTATGTGAGTTTCAACCCACCCTATACTATCAGTCCCTAACTCGTGTGAGCTTCACCCTTCAGTCACTCCTGAAGTGATAGCCAAAGCTGCCGAGGCTGGTGTAACCGGTGTGAAGTTGTACCCTCAGGGTGCGTGATCCTACCCAGTTCTATAACTGTAACCACTTACACCGTCCGTGTAGGTGTAACCACCAACTCTGAGAGTGGTGTGTCGGATATTACAGCCTTTTATGATACTTTTGCCGCAATGGAAAAGCACGGAATTGGTAAGAACCCCAAGAAATCCTGTCCCAGGCCGAACTGACCGTTGTTCTGTGCTAGTCCTGAACATACATGGCGAAGTCCTCGAGTCTCTTGCGCCAGCCGACACAACCCTTGAGGAGGCTTTCCTCCCAACCCTAAAGCAGCTCCATGACCGATTCCCTCAGCTACGCATCGTGGTACGTCTGCCCTCATCACGATCAGGGTGGTAATTGCTAACACCTGTTCCAGCTTGAGCACTGCACCACCTCCGCTGCTGTAGAGGCTGTCAAGGCCTGTGGCCCAACTGTAGGCGGTATGGTGTCAAGTAACCGATGCTGATGATGCTTAACCCTGACCATTTCCATAGCTACCATCACCGCTCACCACCTCTACCTCACTTCTCACGAGGCCTGTTGCGATCCTTTCGCCTTCTGCAAACCTATTCCTAAGAAACCAACAGACAGAGATGCCCTAATCAAGGCTCTTGTCAGTGGCAACTCCAAGTTCTTTTTGTAAGTCTCGGCCTCAAGTTGAAGCTAAGTTCTTGTTGGTACTAACTCTCCGATAGCGGCAGCGACAGCGCTCCCCATCCCCTGCGGTCCAAGACATCTGCTGAGCAGGGTAAGGCACCTGCTGGCGTTTTCACTCAGCCCTACGTCGTGCAACTTGTCCTCCTTGGTCTCGAGGAAGCCATCGACCGTGGCGTCATCTCGGAAGCTGATGTGACACAAGAGATACTCGAAAACTTCCTCAGTCGTAACGGACGTCGCTTTTACAAGCTACCCGAGACCTCTGGTAAAAAGATTATCCTAGAGCGCAAGGGGGACAAGATCCCCACTAGCATCAAGAGTGCGGACAGCAAGACTGAAGTTGGTATCTCGCGACATGGAGCTGAGGTATTCAGTTTGACGTGGGCTTGAGTTATGGCTAAAGATTCAAAACGGGGTGAGGTGTAACGTTGCGTATAAATATGGATCAAGGTGGCAAGAAGCAAAGTGTGTTGTATTCAAACAACGTTTCATGTTTCGCCAGTACCAGTAAAGATGCAATGCCGTGACAGCCATAACTCCATGCTATGCTCTCAAGTTTGATATAACCCAGGCGGACATACGGGGTATTTGATATAAAAAGCAGCCCTTTATCTAGATTCTTCATCCCTACCCCAAACATTGCGGAATTCGTCCTGGTCTATTCCATAGTCGGATTGGTAATTGGACGCTGCATGGGTTTCTTGCTGATTGCGATCGTCGCTCCAGGCTCTAGGTTCTTCATTTTTGGGACTCTCGTGTCCATCCTGCCCACCAACTTGGGTGGTTTCTGCAGGAGCGGGAGGGCCCTTGTTCAGGCCCAGTTCGCCTGGGTCTGGTTCGGCATGCTTGACAACTTTCCTTGGTTTCTTTTTCTTCTTGATCGGAACAACAGCTTCGGGTTGAGGTTCCAGGTGGGGTTGGGATTCACGTCCATGTCCTCGACTCCTTTGCTTCCCTTTGTTTGTTGCGGGAGGATACTCTGTTGCCGGCGACCTCACGGACGGGCTGGCATAAGCTGAAGACCTCGTACCAAAGCTGCCAGGAGAACGGTATCGTTCTCTCAGCGGTTCACTGGCGGTAATGACTGGGTACTGTCTCCTATTAGCGGCATGATTGCATGGTGACCAATCGTGCTTACATTCCAATCGCCATATTCCAATTGGCGTGCTTGCTCGTACAGGCGATCCTCATCAGCATCTATCTCGGGTTCGTCGAAGGTACCGTGTATGTTTTCGTTGATCTGATCGGGTCTGTTGTCGCTTGATTCCCCATTCCCGCGGAGAAGAGGCGTTGTTGAGTTTACTTCCCCAGGCTTTGGAAGCCAGTACTTCCCCTTTCCACCACGTTCGTATCGCATACCTTCTTTGAGTCTTGCAAGACGAGATTTGGAGTCCTCATGAGCCATGACCTTGTCACCAGAATCAAAGATTCTGTAGCCGTAGGTATCTCCCCGGAAAGTCAATTTCGAATCTTCGATAAGATCCCTCACTCCAAAAGCATCTTTGAAAGCATGGCGCAAGGGCATGCGCGCGGATAGAATGCTGTTGTCAGCAAAGTCGTGCCATGAGAAAGCGTACCAGTGGGCAACAGCAAAGATAGGCATCTCCACGCAAATAAGAGCGTCCTGGATAGCCGCTGCCAAGTTGTCGGAGGTATAACCCTCAACATTATCAGGGATTGCACCTAAGAAAACTAGAATTGACAGAAAAAAGCCCTGCCAGTAAGAAGCAAAGATGATGAGCTTAATACACAGGAACTTGGGCACAGGCCTGAACGGCTTCAAGTCATGATTCATGCAGACCCAGAAGAGACCAAGCGCATATAAACTGACGGTGACACTGATGTTGTAAATGATGCCACTCCAAAGGTATCCCGAGCTCAGACCAATATAACCCTCTTGATATGTACCAGTCGCTTTCATGATAATAGCAGATAGGGCAAGAATAGGCTTGAGCCAGGCATACTGAAGAATGCCGCGCTTGATGGACAAAAACGTGTGGGGATCCGAGATGTCAACCTTGGGAAGAACGTGGTTGAGGGGCCAGAGGTGGTGTACTGGAGCTCGACCATGCGTCATAATGATGAGAGATCGCTCACCACCAAGGTAATTGATGAGGAGCTGAAAAAAAGTATATATTGTGAAGGCTTCGTAAATATCGCGGATCGGATCGAGAAACGCGGCGGCTTTCAATGAGACCATGCTTGTCCATGATGCTATCGAGTATATAGGAACCATGAGAAGGATTCTAACGACGTATCTTTGTAGCAAGGGTTTACGGTAGTTTTTAGCCTGCAACATTATCGAGCTGGAGACTTAGGTTAGCTATGTGCATCATCATGGGTGACGCGACGAGGCCATACATGACAGAGAGTATTGTCGCAACCACAGAAGCGATGCCCGCGACCACAGTTGTGGCATAGGTGAGCTTCTGGCCAGTACCGCCATCCGCCGTGATCCCGACGTATTCTTCCATTTCTACCCGAATTTTGTAGTTCGGCGGGTCTGATATGAGAAAGGGCAATGGCTGAATTGTCCTAACACATGACGACCAGTTTTCGAAAAGTATTTCAGTGAACTATAGATGCCGCTGACAATACGTAACAAGAGATGGGGTATGCAAATGGATCGACGATGCTCGACTTCCGGCGATGAACACGCTTTCAAGCTTTCGTAGGAGCCGTGGGTTGCTGGGCCATGTAGTCACAGTTGAGGTTTGGACGTTGGGGCAGATGATGTATTTGCTGCCTTGAGTGTGGTACGTAACAGTGTCTGAGGAATGATAGCTCCGGGGGGCGGCTTATCGTTCATGCGCCCGCATGCCTGCCCGATATTGAAGATCCATATTGAGACTAGCCGACCAAGCTTCGTAATTAGAAGAAATAGTCTATTTGCTCTAGGTAGTGACTGAGGAGTTTGTCAAATTAGTAGTTAACAATGCTGTAGAGAAGTTTCAAAATGAAGGAGAATGATCGCTCCCTCACTCTAGATTACCTTAGTGCCATCAACTGAACATGGTGACATGCAGCCAGCCTCATACTGAGCCGTGGTACTCCGTACTTATAAGATGGAAGCTTGTCCGTCCACTGATGCAATTGCGGGACGGGATGAAGTGGACGCTAAACACTTTGGGGAGCCGGACGCTAGAATCTCCAGCTCGGCCTCGGGGAGCAAGAAAACACCGGACCTTGATCTAGGGTGCTAAAATAAACTTATCAAAGATCCCCTAAACTTAGGCTAAATTTACCTAAATATTTTTATCGCTTAGGGTCAAGGTTTTGTGTTTTCTTTCCTCTCCTAGCTCGGCCACTCAAGGCCACTGAAGCCACGCGATGTCCTGTGGCTCCACTATCCTGCATCCGCTGAGTGACAGGGGCAGAGGCCTACTCACTTCAACAACCGTGCTGCCGTGGTCGCGAATTGGTTTCTTCCATTGTGAGCTGACGGCCCATAGGTTTTGACCGACTCTAACATCCCCTAGCAAGCCAGACTTGCTATGGCTGACTCACTTACAGACTTTTGCGCAAACACTTCAGCTCTGTAACCTCAAAATTAATAAAACCTAATAGTATAATGCGACTCCTCTCCCGATCCTTTAGTGGAGCCCCGTGAGCTCCTTCGAGTATATTCAACATGAATATCACTATGCCTGGCCTCAACAATGCGATTGTTGTAGCCAGAGCCGCTGAAGGAAATCCCCAGTTCAACTAGTATGCTTCTAATCACTGAAGAACCCGTCAAACAACTGCTCACGTACAATAGTAAATTTCTTATTTTTATGGCCTTGTGCTGTTTCCTGGCGATCTTCTTTGTCCTATACTTCAATCGACTCTTCGCGTCGATTGTATCCCACGCCCTCCGAGCTTATACATGGCACCACTATCGAGTCTACATAGATGTCAAGGCTATACAAATATCCCTTCTTGGTGGCCGAGTCTTCTTTACAGGTTTGCGATACCATGGCGAGAACGAGACGTTTATGATCCAGCATGGCTACATAACATGGCGATACTGGCTACGACGAGTTCGAGACGCGGACATCATCAATACTCGACGATCGAAGCTCTCCTCTGGCGATGCTACGACTACAAGCGATGTCAAGAACCCGGAGCTTCCTTGTCGTATCCAGGTGGATCTGACTGGATTGGAATGGTTTGTGTATAATCGTAGCCCAGCCTACGATGGTATCCTTGCAGGTCTTACCCAGACCTACGACCCGGAAGCTCGTTCAAGTGGAATATCGGAGAAGGACGAGACTACTACACGATCGCGAAGCCACAAGAAGGAGAGCGGGTCCGTGGCTGGCAATGAAAAAGAGATGGATGTGAAGCAAGAGTTTAGCGAACGAGCCAAGAGCATGTTCCGACGTACGACCACGGGCTTTGGAAGCGGCGAGGATGATGAGCAGACTAGGAATGACGAACCCGAGCTTCCATTCATGCTTCGACTGTTCCCTGTGCATGTTCGGTGCCAGAAAGCGGCTGCGGTCATAGGCAATGAAAACACGAAAGCTATCCTTATAGCCAAAGCGGATTCGTTAGATGTGGAAGTAGATGCCACGGAAACAACTTCACCCGATCCATACCGACAAACCTTCAAAGTTCAATTCCAACACCCAGTCATCGAAATTAAGGAGAATGAGGACTTCAAGGAGGATCAGGTCACTCGGGCGACCCGAGACCGCGACAATACCGAGACTCAGGAGGCATTATCTAAGCGATCTCTCTTCCGCCATCATCGCCGAAAAGCCGTTAATTCGCTGCGGAATTTAGTTCCGTACTGGCGGCGGTCTGTGGAATCTTTCTCAACAGACTCTCGGACAGCCATGACTACCGCTACGTCGCAAGTGCCAGGGGCAAATCAATGGCAAGGACTGACCCGCTATCTCGATGACCGCGACCGAGATGATAGAGCTCGTTGGGCATCCGTAGAGTACGCAGCTGTGACGACGATTCTTGACAGCCCTGAGGCTGTATTGACAGTATTCTGGGATGCTGTTGGAAAGGTACCTGATCAGAGTCGCTATGAAGGCGTAAAGACCTTCCCATTCAGCATCAACGGAGACGTGCCCCCTGCTTGGGGTATGAACTTTTCGATTAAAGGAGGCACAATGAACTATGGCCCCTGGGCAGATCGCCAGAGAGCAGACTTGCAACGCTTCTTTTTCCCATCACTGTGTAAAGATGCCATGCCTGCAAAGCCGCTAAAACCAGGGGATTGGAGAGTTGCCACGACGTTCCAACTCTACATCGAAATGGACGACGCAGTCACGCTGCGAGTTCCCATTAGAGAAGAGTCTAAGAATTGGCGCTGGCGTGGCAAAGAACCGCCCATACGGCATGCCAAACCTCCAACCAAACGAAAGCAGAGGAACCGGACCAAGAAGAACAGC